TAAGCTTTGGTTCTTTATTGTCATTAGGTTCTAACATTAAACAAAAATCTAGTGTACTTTTCAGATATCTTAAAATTCTTTTAACAGCTTCCCAGTGATACATTGTTGGTTTGCTGACATGTCTGGATAATAAATTGAGTGGTAAGGCGATATCTGGTCTTGTCCAATTAGATATATAAAGAAGTGAACCTATGATTGATCTATAAAATGTGTTATCCTTGAATTCGGGGGAAGATTCATCAGTATTTCTTAGAAAATCAGTTTGCATAGGAGTATCACAAGGTTTGGCATTGTTTAAATTGCATTTATTTAAAAGTTCTATGATCTTATCTCTCTGAGTAAGTTTGAATCCCCTTCTAGTCTTATTAATTTGAACACCAAGATATTTGTTTACTTTGCCTAGGGATTTTAACGAGAAATGTTCATTTAGCTTAGTTACAAAAGTTTCTCTTCTCTCTTTATGTTTTCCTATGTATAAAATGTCATCCACATAAATCAATACAAATTCAATGTAATCATCACCCTTTTTGACAAAGAAACAGTTATCAGCAGTGGTAGCGTTGAAGTCCATGGTTTTAAGTACTTTTACTAAACAATCATACCATCGTTTACCAGATTGTTTTAACCCGTATAAACTCTTGTTTAACAACCAAATCTCATTTTTGTTTGTGTATTGACTGTGAGGAGCTCTTACGTATATTTCCTTATCTAGTTTTGCGTGTAGATACGCAGTCTGTATGTCATATTGAAATACATCAAGATTGAGTGCTGATGCTACCACTAGAGCTGTTTTGACACTCTCTGTTCTTACTGTGGGGGAATACGTGTCAGTATAGTCCTCCGGATATTTCTGTGCATAACCTTGTGCAACTAGTCTAGCTTTGTATAGAGTATTGCCTCCCTCTAAGTTCTTAATTTTATATATCCACCTGGTACCAATAATTGTTTTATCTTTAGGTGCAATTGCAGGTGTAAATACATTTAATCCTTGTAAACTTTCCATCTCCTTTTTCATCGCTAATTCCCATTTTTCTTTTTCTTCACGAGGGAGTTTTAACACTTCCTCATATGTATTGGGTGTTGTTGGCTCACCATCCATGTGCATTATATAATCCTTGTATTTATTTGGCATTTGATTTCTGGTGTTTCTAATAGTTTTTTCAGGTTTACTATCGTTATCATGCAAATATCTTGCTTCCTTTTTTGTTAGTGTGTCTGTCTTTATTTTGTGTTGGCTATTTGTCCAAGTTTTGGTTTTGTTTTTATATTTGTTGATATTTTGCTTTTCTATGGTCCCTTTCTCATGAGATTTTGTATCTTTGTATTTATTTGGAAATATTTCATTAAGATGTAATTTAGACCAGTTGGCCTGTTCATGGAACACAGCTGTTCTGGAGACTATAAATTTGTTATTATTATCAATGAATCTGTACCCTTTAGTGCCAGTCTCATATCCCATAAATCTGAGTCTTCTGGATACGTTTTCTCCCTTTCTTCTTAATTGCTTAGGTATGTGTACGTCTGCAGTGACTCCGAATATGTGCATGTGTGCTAATTTTGGTTTCCTATTATACATCACTTCATATGGTGTCTTATTTACAATGCTGGACCAGGTTCTATTTTGTGTGTAATTTGAATAATGTAAGGCTTCTGACCAGAATTGTTTGCTTAAGCCAGCATCTTCCAATGTGCATCTAATCATGGTTTGTAATGTTGAATTCTTCCTCTCTGCAATCCCGTTCTGGAACGCAGAAAATGGACTAGATGTGTAATGTAACATTCCTTTGTCTTTTAATCATTGGGAGAATTCTTTAGACATGAATTCACATCCCCTATCTGTCATGATTTGTTTTATTTTGATATTGTGTTGTGTTTCTATGCGTTTGTAAAATTCTTTAAATTTTTGAAAGGTTTCATCTTTGTGTTTTAATGTATAAACAAATCCATAGCGGCTATAATCGTCTACTATTGTCAAGAAGTAACGTTTTCTATAAGTGATTGATGGAGTTAATGGACCAACTAAGTCCATGTGTACTAAATCAAAAATTTTGTTAGTTGATCTAGTAGATTTTCTTGGCCTGGGACTAGTTTTTAGTTTTGTAGATTTACATACTGAGCATTCCAAATAGTTTTCACAATTTTTTATTTTAACACCTTCTGCGTGTTCAGTCATTTTTTGTACTACAGGAAAACTGGCATGTCCTAACTTCCTATGTAAGATGTGAGCACACTCATCATGAATTGGCTTACCTATTTTTGGTTTTTTTTCATTGTGTGCATCTATGTGATCATGAGATATTTTACATTCATCATTATCACTGTTGCTAATATTTTCATCATCAACTTCAATACAATCTCTCATATTTGAATCAATGTTATGCAGCCATTTTTCCTTTGTTATCAGATAAGGTAGGCCTCCTTTAATCATCACAGTGCCTATATTTATTTTATTCTTCTCTAAAGTCGCTTTTCCTTTTGAAAAAACAATGTTAATGTCAGAATCTCTACTTAGTTTTATGGCACTTAGTATGTTATGAGGTATTTCAGGTATTAGCAATACCCCCTCTATTTTTCCTAGACCAGGCAGGGTTACATTCCCTCTACCTAATACTTGAACCTTTTCTTGGTTAGCTACCTTTATTACAAATTTATCTTCTGTAAATGAAGACAATATATTTTTGTTACTAGTGGTGTGATTAGTTGCTCCAGAATCAATAAGCCAATTATTGTTCTCATTTTGCTGTATGTTAGTGTTGTCTTGTTTATTTAACCCATTCAGTGAGCCAGATTTTCTATCCTTTGAATTATCTCTGCCCCCTCTATTCTCTTTGTAATTTGGTGGGCTTCTATATCTATGTCTATCTATGGAAGACTGTCTATAATTGTATTTGTTCCTATATTCTGACCTATGTCTTTCCTTTGAAATCTTGGGGCAATCTCTTCTATTGTGTTCCCTGGATCCACAATTGTGACATTTAAATGTTTCATTATATTTTTCTTGGAAAGCTACTTTCCTATATGGTTTGTGTTCTGTGTGATTGTTAGAACGATTTCTTCTTGAATTGTCTTCTGCTATCAATTTATTGGATAGACTTTCTATGGATAAGTATCCTAGATTGATTGTGTCTAAATGTGACATAAAATTGTCCCATGATGGATCAAGTGAGTTGATAATAACACTTTTCATTGTTTGGTCTGAAATCACCTCCCCCCTCAAATGCAGCTCAGCTCTTATTTTGTTTAAAGATATTAAATGCTCACTTATGGAAACCCCTGGTTTTATCCTAGATGAAAAGAAATCTTTAGACATCCTTGTGGTGGTAGCTACACTATCACTGTGAAACAAATTAAACATGCATTGAATAATTTCTGAAACAGTCAGATTTGGCTTAATGCTGTGATACATTGCAGGAGACACACTAGATATTATTAAGAAAAATGCTCTATGGTGTAAACAATCTATTTTTATAGTCCAAGGTCTTTTTGGGGGACTAGTGATAAAGAATAGTAAGCTTTCCTTCATAAAGACAACCTGGAGCTGTTGATACCATTCTTGCAAGTTAATGCCATCAACCCTTAGCTTCGGGAAGTCACTGGGTAAATTTCCGACATTATTGGGTCCATTACTTACAACCTGAGGTAGTCCGTGGTCTCGTAAATGCAGAAAATTGCAAAACGGCGTGGGGATGCTCGCAACGAGTCTGCGCGGTCTTCTCGTCAGTTCATGTCTTCCCGGGCCGTCTGCGTAGTCTTGCGCATGCGCGTTGTCCATTTCTTCTTTGGAGTCGTCGTGGAAGGTTCTCCCCATTGCGGCTCGCTCGTTCTGCTCCTCCTTGGACGAATCGGTCTCTGGTTCGATTTTGGGAGTCCTGACGACGGCGGCTGTTCTTCCTCTTCTTTTGAGGGCGTTGGTGCTTGCTTCGGTCTGTGGCGTAGGGCGGTATCGGCAAGGCTCTCTGGGTTCGGGCGTCAGCTCTCTCGTAGTCAGGATGGGAGCGGGCAGGTCTTGAGGCATTGGCTTGCTCGCTCACTTCTTCGTTAGCTTTTTAGTAATTTTTAGTTTTGGCCCAAATGCGGCAAAAAGCGTTTTCATTGCTGATTTTATTTGGTAGTTTGTTGAATCACCTTCACTTTCTGATTCTGATTCTTCTGAGGTGTTTGAATCTTCTTTTTCATTTTTGTTGTCTGGTAATGTTTTTCGCGCCAGAAATTTTGAATTGAGCTTTTTGATTGGCTCTGCTTCGCTCATCTTGGAGGCCTGTTGAAACCAAGATGGCTGCCATTCAAAATTTCGCGCGGGATCACTGTTTTTCTTCTTCGCAATGATTTTCTCTGCAGTCATATCACTCACTATTTTTGGGTCTTTAGACTTTTCATTAGTGATGTTTTTCTCTCTCGCTGCTCCGCTGTTCTTCAGCATATCTTGGAGGTTCGCGATGAGGCTTTCATCATTCTTCTGGCTCTTTAATAATTTTAATATCTCTGACCTGAGTTCGTTATTCTCTATCTCGATTTCCTCCTGGTCATCATTTTCATCTATTATTTCTTCGTCTTCAGTGGTGTATTCTTCGGATTCTCTCGAAATTGCGTTTGTGGATTCGTTGATTATTTCTTGTTCTGTTTCCATTTCTTTGCTGTAGGCCCTGGTGTTGGGCCTATCTTTCTTAGACATTTTTAAGTTTTTATTGAGTCAATTAACCATCCTCTGCTACCAGCTTATTGCAATATTTTCAGGATCAGACTCAATAAGATTAGTAAGAGTTAAAGGTTTAAATATATTTCCTTTTATTTACAATAGGCATTCTATATTCACTGAATATTCACAGATAGAAGCGAGGAAAAGGGTGCATGTAGCTCCTTATATATACGATGGGTGGAGCTATATGTGGGAGTGGTGAATTATGAATACATTAAGAAGTGGAGAATAAGTTAACCCCTGATACCCCGTTCATATACTATTTACACATTAGAGAATAAGGCATTTACATCTGACAGCTTACTTCTGTTTAAAGAGTTTGGACTGCGAAGAAGCAACAGAGAAGTTTTCATCACTTCGGCTTCCAGTCCCAGGGTAGAACATCATGCTGACCCTGGTGATGTAGGGTTTCTTGTTTTCCTCCCACTGTACGCCATGTTTGTTAGTATCATCTCCATCTTCTTCTTTTTGAAGTTGTTCTTCAGCCTTCCAAGGAGGGCTTGCCCCTCTTTCCCTTGGATAAAAAAAGAGGCATGAAATGTATGACTTGCTATCAATCCAGGTATTCTGACCTTCTTCAACCGAGTGCCCCTCAACTGTTTTGGATTATGCAAGGAACTGTCTTTTCTCAATAGGTTTTCCCCATCCCATCCCATCCAACAGATTGAGCATGCTGCAGGTCCCATCATCCAAAGAACGTCAATTGAAAGGGACTGAAGACATGCCTTTTCTGGAGTAGCCCCTGTCCTTTGCAACATCCTTCCTTCATAGAAGGATGGCCCCAGTCCTGTTGGCCTTTTTTGTAAGGTTAAAAAATCCCATTTCTTGGCTTTATTGACAATTATGATGATAATTTTCTTGGCGGCTGCAATCTATTTATTCTGTACTGTTTGTAATTGTTTTAAAACTATCTGCCCACTCAGAGACCCTTAGCTGAGATGGGCAGCTATAAAAATTAAATTAATTAATTAAAAATAAAATACTGTACTCTGGGTTTGCATAATCTTTGGGAAGAAATCCAGGAAAGTCAAACAAAAATCAGAATACACCCTTAATGTAAGCTTGGCAAGAAGAAGGTTCTCTGAACATTTGTAGGTAGCTGCCAATTTTCTGATTATGGATTCCTTTTTTTAAAAAAATCATATGATCCCATTCCCAATTTTATTATTATTTACATATACCGTATTTCTTTCCCACGTTTCACAGAGTGGGTTGGAAAATTCTATGTCAGAATTGATTTCACTGGGAAACATAGAATCATAGAATCATAGAATCACAGGGTGGGAAGGGCCTTTGGAAGATTCTAGTCCAACTCTTTCCCCAATATATGAGCTAGACTTCCTGAAGAGGTTTAACAGTATTTACCACAATTAAATAGCTCAAGATTTTGCAATAAAGATTCAGTAACACATAGAATTCAAGGAGTTACTTGAATATTAAAGGTGTTGGTCACCACTTTTAAAGCGCTCCATGGCTTAGGACCTGGGTATGTACAAGACCGCCTTCTGCCACCGATAGCCTCCCACTGGCCAATACGCTCCCACAGAGAGGGACTCCTCAGGGTGCCGTCGGCCAAACAATGTTGACTGGCGACACCCAGGGGGAGAGCCTTCTCTGTGGGGGCACCTGCCCTCTGGAATGAATTGCCCCCAAAGATTCGCATGATCCCCAACCTACGTACCTTTCACCGTGCCCTTAAGACTCTTTTGTTCCAACAGGCCGGGCTGGCTTAGAAAATGAATTTTAATTGGGTGTTTGTAGTTTTTAATATAATGGGCCAAATTTTTAAATCTATTTTAAACTGTTTTTAAATTTTGTGGGTATATGTTGTTTTAATATGGCTGTACACCGCCCTGAGTTCTTCGGGAGAAGGGCGGTATAAAATTTATTATTATAATAATAATAATAATAATAATAATAATAATAATAATAATAATAATAATAGAATGAGATTTCCAAATATATAAGCTAGAGTCAGAAAAGATAGAAATCCTGGAATTAAATTGCTAACATCTGATGGGAAACAGAACAGGCAACTTTGCTCTTAGATATTTTTCTGTTTATAACATTATCAAAAATAGGGCTAGACATATTATATATTGACAAAAGTAGAACAACCTTTTACTAGCTCTTAAAAACATCAGGATATTTGGCTACCTTAAATGACTATTAAATAATATATTGACCAGGAACCAATATTTAGAAGAAAATAGGAATCAACAAAATGATTCAAAACTGGGAGTGTGCTACAGTTCTACATTGATATCTTTTAAAATGTATATGCAGAATATATATATATATTGACAAGCACTAGCCTATAAGTAATGGAACTGGACTTAAACTGCTGAGAGACATATCAACCAGCTCAGATATGTTGATAATACTGCTTTCATAATGTAAAGAGAGGAAAACCCAAGAAATCCCTTACTAAATGTGAAAAAAAAAATGTTCAAAACCAGGGCTGTTTAGAATTAAAAACAATAACAACCTAATGTTGTATCTACAGGCAACGCCAATACAAACAGATGAAGGAGCAGAAGATTTTATGTTCCTAGGTTCAAAAATTCACAGAGAGTCTGTCAATAGCCATGAAATAAAAAGACATCTATTATGAGACATTTAGATAAAATATTAACCTACAGAGAAATCACATGGACCAAGGTACAGACAAGGCAATGATTTTTTTAGTTGTAATAGCTGTGAAATCTGATGTATTTGAAAACCTGAAAGAAGAAAAATGGAAGCTTCTGAATTGTGGTGCTGGAGAAAATAGTTAAGAATATTTGGACCACGCTCACAATTCATTACTAGTGTAAGTAAAACCATTGGAAGCATTAAGAATAAAACTAAAACTTAAATGTTTGGGGCATGTAATACAAAACCAAGAGTCATTGGTGAAGATCCCATAACCTAGAACAATCGAAAGCTATCAGAAAAGAAGCTGTCAAGAAATAAGATGGGCAAATATTATCATTGATGTCAGAAGGACAAGCTGACGAACTCATAGAAGCAGTTATGAACAAATAATGGTAGTGAAGTGAACAACGACAACAAAATATCTTATAGGTGCTGTGAATGCTATCTGTCTGTCTGTCTGTCTGTCTATCTATCATCTATCATCTATCATCTATCATCTATCATCTATCTATATATATCCCTGATGGCGAACCTATGGCACGCATGCCCAAAGTGGCACACAAAGCCATGTCATTTGGCACGTGCAGCCTTGCCTGTCTGTTTTCTGGGTTTCTGATGCGCATGCGTGCGCGATGATCAACTGTCCTTTGCACGCAGGGCAGTGCCAAAAAACAGTGTGCGCATGTGCACCGGCCAGCTGATTGTCGGGTGCCCATGCGCGTCAGTACTCAGAAGTTTGTCCTTTCCAGAGTGTGATCCCTTCATGCACACGGCAGTGCTGAAAACCGGCCTGCACATGCGCGCCGTCCAGCTGATTGTTGGGTGTGCATGCGTGCTAGAACCCAGAATTTTGGCTTTTCTGGAGTGCAGCCCCAATGAGCATGACCTTTTCGGCACTTGGAACTACCTCTATCTGCATTTGATATCCTTCTGACTTCACTATTTATTGCATTCCAACATGCTGTGTGCATTATTATCTCACATTCTATCTCTTCCTGTGCCTGTTAAGTTATACATTTATGACAGGGGTGGATAAAGTGCAACCTCTTTAACGCCACACTTTTGGGTTTTTTCTCAGAGGCCAGAAAAGCAACCAAAATATAACAGAAAATCTGTGAAAACTGAGGCAGGATTTCCCAGGATTTCTGCTACGAAATACAAGTTTAAATTTTGATTGTTTGCTGGACTCAACAAGCCTTCAAATTCTAGCCTTGCCAACTTATCTCCCACCATTTTAACCCCAACCCACTCACTCTTCAACCCCATCTGCAAAAGTGTAGTTGCTTAAGCCAAAAGGCTGCCTGACCATGTGTGCTATAATAAAAATGTAAAGTGCTATAAAGTTCTTAACTACATGATAAGGTACAATATCTTTGACTTTGTGTAGGAACACTGGCAATCCCAGATATATTCCATGAATTTTCAGTAGTTAGTTTTCAGCTATTGCTTTGGGAGCCCTAACAATACCAGACGCATCTTACACATGCTTTAAAATGCCAGAGTAAACCAATGAGTTGATGTACAGCATAATCACCGTAACTAAGCATATTCAAAAATCTCTTTAGGCTGCAATCTGATAATTGCTGAACTAAGTTGTCTCCCATTTTCATTTCCTGTAGGTAGCAAGTGAAAAACAAGGATTACCTTCACATAATTGTTGCAAAGGCAGACTCTCTGATACATCATTTTTTTAAATGTCTCGAGATACTCATCTTGTTATAGTAATAGAAATAAAATCTGTTAAAAAAATAGTTTGTATGGAATCTTCCTTCCCATCCCCATTGTTTGCCATAGGACCCAAACCCCCAAATAACCTCTGGGTTTGTGCTTCTCCCAAATAAAGTGTTCCTTTTATTCCCTGCCCTTTAACTCACATTTTATGGCCGCTGTAGCCACTTGCAGGGGATGCACTAGAGGCTTTGTGATGCAAGTCCCATTGCTTGTGTCTCTGTCCCAGAGTCCTAGGAAGGTCTTTGTTGAGGTCACCATGGTAACGTAAGAAAAGGGAAGGGGGACCAATGAAATCTGTAGCAAGGAAGGAGACGGGAAGTACCCTATTAGAAGGGGTTTAGGCCCTCCTGGGAAGCAAAACCCACAGGAGGAATTAACTCTTGAGCTGTTGGGCTGATTGAACCATTGGTAAGTAAGTGACACTGGGGAGTTATTAGTTCTTGCTCATATTGTTGTCCTACACATAACCATCCTGGTTTCCAGATTCATGAAACATAGAGACAATCATTTGCTTCATTTGGGTCATCCCTCAAGACCTAGGTTTGCATGCAGTGGGCATGCAAGTGCCCTCAGTTTCATATATGATGAAATGGTACCGTGAGCATTAAAAAGATGCGACTGCTATACCTGTGGGCTCATTCACACGTGTAAAGTTTGACCAAATGCGTGGTAAATGTGAATGTCTTAATCCAGTGAGGGGAGGTATCCTAGAAAAGAAAGAGGCTTTCGTATTTTAATGTGTTTATAACTATTTTAGTAAAGTGTAATAATGTACTAAAGGTATGGTAAGTACTGTAAGAATTCATTATACTATAGAAACATTTTAGAAAGTAATATATGGGTTTCTTTATAAATATTTGGGGATGAGGTAAAGTTTATCCAGTCAGGGATTCCAAAGAACTTCAAAAGAGCTTCTCTAACTGGTAGGAATGGCTGATACATTTTGAGGCAGAAGATCCAGCCTTCCCATTCATTAATGGGATCTTTGTGGCTATGATATATTTCAAAATAAAAACATCAACACAAGTTGCAGCTGCTATAAAAATTGGCAAATCCCATGCTTAGAATTAATACATGGAAGCATGGAAAATAATACAATCAGGATAGCAATGACATTGCATAAATCTATGGAGCGGCAATATTTGGAGTACTGTCTTTGTTCCAATCAGTCAAAGTGATGGAAAAAGTGTAAAGCATGGCAACCAAAATAATGAAAATACTTCCTTGTGAGGATAGAGTTCAGCCTGAGGCTTTTTAACTTGGTAGGCAAAAGAGGCACAATACAATGTGTAACAAACACATGACTGATGGATTGAGGACTATGAAGTTGGTATTGACTCTCAGCGACCTTAAAATGTGTTTCCAGAAACGTCTTTCTCACTTTCATAATGTCAGAACTTACCCACTTCCCACCTCCCATTCACACCAAGGACTCCGGATGTCTGAGGGATCACAAAGGGCAGAAGAAGGTAGCAGGCCTTAAAATAATACAAGAAAGAAAGTGTTAAACTATCTTTCTCAGAATAAGAGGAGCATATCAAGGCTACTAAAATGAGGTTCTTCCTACATGGAAGGAATGGATGGAATTTTTCAGTTAGACCATTTTTGCTTAATCAAAGATGGTTTAAGAACAAGCTTGGAACAGCCTTCAAATGCTACTGGGCTAGATTCCCAAATACTTTTGCTGAGCTTGCAAGGGAGCATGTCATATTGATAAAGCAGCCAAGGTAACACATTACTGAGAGTTAGTTGTTCGAAGTAGCGGTATAGGTCTGCAGCCAATGTTGCAAATTTAATAAAATCAGACTAAATTTATTTTTAAAAACGAATTATTCCTACACTTATTTAACCGTTTCCTCATTAGTTCATATAATGAATGCTGTGCCAATATGACATATACTGATTTACCATCTCTCCCTATTACCCAGTTTAGACTCTATCCTTTCTATATTCAGGCATTCTACTAGATGCATTCGTATAACATGCTGCTGTTCCCTTTGCTTGTCAAAGTGAATAATATGTACTGTTATCCTGTTCCCCCCTCATGTGGCTTAAAATGGCTTTACTGTGGTTAAAGAGGTTGTCCAGACTCAGACTTCTAGGTCAATTACCATTAGTTAAACGTGCAAGCCACAATGTTACAATGTTTCCCATATTTTCATATTATCACAATTTACTGCCTCTTCCTCGTCCTCTAATTACCACCAGCCTTCCCTATCTGCATTTTATTGCAAACCTCTAGAACCCACCCCTTCTAATTCTTTATTCGACCACTTTCAATCTGGCTTCTACTTCAGTACTTCATTAAAACGTTTGCAAGCACTATAGTATTACTAAAGAGTTCTCACTTGGATACACAGTTCTCTTTTCCTTTCAATGGAGTTGATAATTCTCTTGCACATTTTTTGTTTTTTGCCCTGGAGCATCTTTTGTTTAGTTCTATGCCTTCAAGTTATGTTAAGAGGACAACTTCCAGAATTTCTAGACACCTCGGCTGTTGGCTTGATGCATCTATAGGGGCTGTGATAGAAAAGACCATTCGAGAATTTCTGTGATTGTGTTCTCAGTTAATTTCTCACAGATTGAGTTGACTCTCCGGTGATTTTGTTTCAGGAATCCCTTTGTCCTTTGCTTCTCTTTTACTGTCCACATATTGTCTTTCATCTCTTCACTTCTCATGGTGTTCAGTATGACTTGTTTCTAATAGGAAGCTTTATCTTCTTTCTTGGAACGTCTTGTGTTTCTTTTTAAGGATCCTTTCCTTTATGCTTCTTTGTGTTTTTGCATCCTGCAAACGGTTTATGGCCTTGGGTGGCTTTGGTTTTTTCACTTTCCCTGATTATCCCCTGCTCAGTCTATTACTACATTGTTCTGACCTAGGCTTCCTTAGGCAGTATACAGCACAAACGTAGTCCCGGCAAACCTCTTTAATTCAGATGTCTGTGACTTATTGTCATTCCCAGTCGAAAGGCTTATCAAACAGTCTTGCAGGGGAGTGTTTACAAACACTCACCTTATCTCCCTTGGAATGCTGCCAGAGAACTAATTGCCACATGCAGGGAAAGGCCAAACGTAGCACAGAGTCAAATGGAACTTTTCCACAGCTTTTACCGACCAGATGAACTAATTGCTTCCTGCAAAAGCTCACGTTCCTTTTGCTTCTCTTTTATGCCTTATGGGAGGGGCCAATCATCTCCAAGCCTTACTCCCAAGTCAACCCTGTTTTCTTAATTGTTCCTGTCTCCTGGCAGCTCTGTGCATGTGCACACTGGGAACAGGCTCATGCTGTTCTTTTGCCTCGCTGATGTAAGATTCCAGAGACTCTGGAGGCAGCAAAGAACTACCAGATGGCCTTGACCCCCTCTCTGCCTCCAACTCAGAGCCATCGTTCGAGCCTTCCCTAGACTCCAGGACTGGCCCATGTTCCTCCCCAACTACCTCACTGTCTGTGGCCGCTGGTGGGCCACAACATACATTGTATTATTTCTTCCTTTGAACACTTACAGAAAGACAGAAGTCCTTCTTCGTGGGGGACTTTGTGGGAAATGAACAGAGCATGGTCAAAAAATTGCCATGCTTCTAGGAGCTAGTTTGATGCAGAGGTTAAAATGAAGGACTTGAAACTAAGAATCTGTGAATTCTAGTCCTGTCATTCTCAGCATCAATCTATCTCAAAGGGTTGTTGTTGTGGGGAAAACAGAGGAGGCAACATGATGACTTGAGTGGTACAAAGTAAAATCACCTAATACATGAATAAAAATATTTTTGTTACAACTTTATTATAGAGGATGCCAGTTTGGCCTAGTCGTTAAGGCACCAGGCTAGCAATTCTGCCTTAGGTATAAGAGCCAGCTGATTGATTTTGGGACAGTTACTTTGTCTCGCTCAGCCCAACCTGCCTCACAACTTTGTTGTGGGAAAAATAGGAGGAGGGAGGAGTATTAGATATATTTGCCACCTTGAGTTGTTTATAAAAATAATAAAGATGGCATACATACATACATACATACATATCTTGGCATACCTTGCAATGTTTGTAGAATATGCAAAACTGTGTGCCATTCACTTCATATTTGCTTGAAATTGGACTTTGTCAGTATAGAAACAGCCTAATTTCAATCATCTAGCCACGGCACAGATTTATTGGTTTGTAAGTTTTTTCTTGCCATCTGTTCCTCTGCTATGAAATTTGCTACTTGCTACCGCGTGGTCTTGGCTAATCTTGAAAAAAGTTAATGAGGGTCAGATCCAGGTAGCACTTTGAAAAGAGATAGCCAGCTGGTTTCTGTTACATTGAGAAACTGAAAAGAAAAAAAAACATCTAGGAAGATGATGATGGTAGGGTGTCCATTAGGGGTGTGTGTGTGTGTGTGTGTGTGTGTGTGTGTGTGTGTGCGCGCATGTGTGAAAAATCAAGATGATGGTTGCAACAGTGTGATTGAAACCCTTTATATGCATACTGTTATGCATTGATTCTGCTATTGCAACCACCTCCTGCAGATGCCTGGGGTGTTGGCAAACTATTTCCATATAAAATAACTGCTAAGGATACCATATGGACTGCATCCAGGTACTTAATTAAATTTGTGACTTGATTCCAGAGAGTTTTAACCTTTCATTCCTCTGGTTTATGTGGTCTGTAAATGTCCAGATACAGTGTAGTACCAGGAAAAGAAAAGAGTTTGATTTTGAAATGACATCACAAATTGCTGGTTCAGGTTTCAATTAATTTTCATGTCATGCTATATGGTTCAACAATGATCTCTTTACTAAACCACAATTGGATAGGTTCCCAGAATACAAACCACAATGTGTGAGTTCATGTATCACCTTAGCCAAAATCAAACAACCAGGTTATGGCTTAATACGAGGTAAACCTACACGTTTCAGAAATTGCCCATCAGAATACCTTAGGCTGTTTTCCAGAATTTGTATGGGTAAAGATAATCCCCAAGACTCCTTCTACTTTATTCTTCTTTTATTTAGTATTTTCTGATCTTTATCTTCTTAGCTGAATGAAGGCCTGTTGATCTAATGTTAAGGTTTAACTTTGCCTCTTTATACCTCTTTCCTTTAATCTTAGAAAAGAAAATACAACAAAGCATATTTGCAGCAAGTTGTCATTTGCTTCACATCTGACTTGAATGCTACTTTATCCCCTTTTGTGTTTACAACAATGGAGCATTAAGTGTGCCTTTAACGATCACAGATTTCCACATTAATAATTTGAGTTGGTTACGCAGTGCCTAGGAATTCAATGCAATCTTAATGGGGAATCTTAACTCTTGGGTGTATTGTTATTTATTTAAATAAGACAAATGTGATGTTAGATTTGTAGGAGGTGAGTAATTACAGTACATTTGTACAGCACATTCTTCATCTCTTCTATATAATGAGCCAAGAAAGCTGGCATTTAGCCTTCTAAAAATATCAGTGTTATTTTCTTTTTTCCTTGTTGCAAATAAATGCTAAAGAATATGGAAGCAGATATGCATACTCTATTCCAAACACAACACCAAGAGAGGCGATATCTTTATAAGCCAATTGCTTCTGTAGAAAATTGCTGGAAGCTTTCAAGTTTCAAGAACTCTTCATCAGGCAAAGAGAGAGGGAGGGAGGGAGGAAAATGCCAGATTGCATGTTTAAATGAATTGATGCAGAGTCTGCAGATACGCAAATTACTCACGGATCTGGAGACCACTAAATTGGGGGCAGGAGTTGTTTTTGCTTGGAATTCAGAATGTCTTTCTTACATGCATACAAACACACACATGCACACACAAGCATCCAATTCTAATTGAACACTCTTTCGTATAGACTGAAAGGTAAATAGAAATTAAAATAATTAAGAATTATCTAGAATAGCAGTGCTCATTCATCTGTACGCTATTCAAACCACAATGGCTGGGTTCACACATTTGCTACCTTTGCTTATGCAATATACTAAGTCCAAACAACATAAAACACATTATGGCTTAATGTGTTGTTCTATTCATTATTCTCTACAGGTATTCACTGCTGGTTGTAATTAGACAATACAGCGTTGTTGTTTTTTAATAGTGAGATAGAACTGTGAAGTTAAATTTGGCTACTTAACTCTTATCGCAGTCCAAAGATTTCAGTTTCACTCTGGCTGCAATCCACTTCCCATGATTCTATTCAATTTCAGTAATGGCAATTAAGGTGATGTGTAATATAGGCTTATATTTTCCTTCGTCACTTAGCACTTTACCCCTGGAGAAAGAGTGATGTGTTTTGTTCCTTTTTAACATTATCCAGACATTTTGTTATCTTATGACTGCAGAGGAAAAAACACTCAGTGCTTTTCGTGTAAGTAAAGCTATTTTACTCTTGCTCATCCGATATAAACAAAAACTTATGAATTGCTTATAAAAGTAATCTTCTCTTAGCTGGAAATTAAATGAACAGCAGCATTATTCTTTCCTTCCGTATATTTTAAATGTGCATAAAATAACAAAACATGTGGAGTGATATTTAGAAAATAAGAACACAAAATCCAAGTTTTATGTCATATTTTGATTCATTTTGTTGTGGTAAGCTAAAATGGGTTTGCTGAATTTTTTTTAAAAAAATGCCTTCATAAGACATATGTAGATATTTATTTGTGGGCAAGGCTTTGGGTTTTGATGCAGAATTTTAAAAAATTCTGCCCTGCTTGGATAAAATAAGTCAAAACAAACTGTAATGAAAAAGGTGTTTTCCAATCAAAAGTTTGCACAGTTCAACTTGTGTCATGCACAGATTTGTTCTTTCATCCTTGTGTTCTGACTTTTAGAGTTCCCAATTACATTTTTTGCTTAGTCTTCTTACATATACAATATAAATGTTTAAACAATTGCAGTATCCGTTTAATATTTTATCCCATTTTAACATATTGTTTCAAACTCCATTTGAATGCAGAAGAACCTTGCAGTGTTCAGTGTCTTCTACTGGAGCTGTTTTGGAAGAGTTGGTATAGCTGTGTAGCTTGTTTTTGATAGATGATTTAAAAAAAAGGCATTTCTAATACACTTCACTTTGTGTCAATTGTGTTCTAACCTTCTTGCAACTGGATATACCAATGCACTGAATGGTTTGTACCATTGTTGTTGTTTTTTTTAAAGAAAGTATAAGGGTTTTTTTTTACTTAAGTTTTCACTGTTTGCGAACACTCCAGTTTGACAAAATTATAGTATCTAATGACCTTGATTGATCTCAAGCAAAAGTCAGACCCAGTTAGCAGTTGGATGAGAAACTATTAGGAAATTTTAGGCTGCCGGCTATACTGGAAAGTTGAAAAAACTTCCCAAGAAAGCAACGGCAGTTTATTGTTGACAAGATAACTGTCTTAATTATGGCTGTGGCTTCTCACAAGTCAAGTAGTCTTTATCTATAATACTTTACCAGAGATTCCACATCTGTATTGGTTGATTATAAACTTGTGAACAATGTGCAAATTTCCTTTGCTAAATAGATATAACTTCCAAGCAATTAGCCATGCAAACTGTTTCAATTATAAGAAAGGTAGTTTGCTAGCAATCCATCATATGCTACAGATTGGATATTTGGCTGGTAGGACAGTTAAACATATGTATATTAAGAGTAACTATTCAAATTTTGTTTTCACTACTGAGTTAGTTGCTTAGATGCAAACCTTATTCTCTGAATTATCTCTGACT